CGGCTTCGTCGGCATGTTTCTTAGTTCACGATGATTGATAGTCATGGGTGTTAGTACGCCGTCCAAGAGAGATGGTGCCAGAGAGTTGACCCCTGGAATGCCATCTACAGTGGCTGTACGCGACCGCAGAGACCAAACTCAGCACTGGACACATCGCGACTGCGGAGCCAGGTGATGATCGTGCTTTTTTCTCGCATCATGAGCTTGATGCATCTATGTACCTCATCATGGGCGGACCCTTTTCGAATTCATTTGGTCCGCCCAAAGTACAAAATCCCCTTTGAATCTCCGGGGTTTCAAGCAAAAGTGTGACAACGTTGCGTGTTCCCCGCACACCCCAGTCTGCGTGCGCTACGACGTTCGCAACTTTTTGTTGAACACGTGTGTCACATTCAAGTCAACACGTGTCTTTCTTCCTAGGCTTGGCAGCACCGACTGCCCCAGGAGGGCGTGGAGACAATGGAACGCTGAGTCGACGTACAGGCGGACATGACAGTCTGGGCTTCGCATCACACATAGGAATGCCAGACAGAAATGAGACTGCGCTCGCGCATGTGCCCGTCAACAGGCACCTGGAGGCTGCCATTTTTTTCCATCAAGACCGCATTCTACATTGTTGGCACCCTGACGTGTTTCTCGTTGGTACACTATGCACTTCTTGACACGGCAGCCCCCGTCCCAGGCCATTCAGGCTGGAACAGCTATGTGGAGTCCCCGTGGAACAGAGAGCTGCACTGCAGGCGCGACGCCATCGGCAAGCCCCCACCTGCCCGGCCAAAGGTGTTGTTCACTGGAGCCGGCTACAGTGGGTCCGGCTTTTTAAGCCAGCTTTTTGGCAAAGCCGGATATCTCATTGGACATGAGTGCATGGGACGCTTGGGCACATCTGACTGGCGGCGAGCCTTCGATCCACCGGGCGACTTCCAGATATTTACCGACGTGTTTCTGCAAGTGCGCCACCCACTGGCCATCGTACGCTCATGGCAGAAGACCAGGTGGAACTTCACGATACCCTCGGAGCATTGGACGTGTATGGCCAACACCACACTTTACTGGCATTGGACACCGCCGGGAACGGTGCTCAATGCCACTTCCAACACGACTGTCGGTGAACTGGACCTGAAAACATTGCTGCCGGTGCAGTTGAGGGAATTTTGGCCGCTGATCCCAGGGGAGGTCAAAGCGTTGTATTGGTGGGTCAAAGCCACTTCCAAGGCGTCAACTTGGGCAACATGTTGGTGGAGGGTTGAGGATTTTACAGAACACACAGCCAGGGCTGTGTGCGCCAAGTCTGGATTTGTTGGGTGCGATGACGTGCCCTGGGCAAAGCACATTGCCTCTGAGCGAGGGTACAACGCGCATGCCAATTCCTCAGCGACCCTGCCACAGTGGGATGCCCTCTGCAATGATGGTCCTGGGCAATCTTTGCACCTTCACGCTCATGCCTTTCGGCACAGCACATGTGCAGCGGCCCGGGAGTTGTGTGCTCATTTTCGATACACCAATTGCTGACACCCTTGGCCACGCATGCTTGGCCGTACTTGGTGACCATTCCACTTTTTGACATCGTGCACCCATTATACTACATGCATATGTTGCTGTAAGTCATGGTACGCCATGGTTTTTTAGGCTGTCACTGTTGCTTCGATAAGTTCATATATACAGGGCATTGGGCATGCTTCCTCTGTGAGCAGGACGTGGGGGAAAGCCTGCAAGCAAACTTTGGGGCTCAACACACCCTGCAGTCAGCAGACAAAACTCTTCTCACCATGACGTTGGGTTTTTGGCCATGCATGAGGGCCTGAATATCCCAGAGAAGCGAATTGAGTGGAAGTTCAGAAGCAGGAAAGCAGGGCGTGGATGGTGTTGTGGTACTGTGACAGGACAAGGCATAGCGCATGCAGAGTTCCAGTAAATGATGTCATGATATAATCTCAGAGACCCAGCGCAGTTCACATTGCTGCTCCCCAAGTGGAATCGCATGATCATACGATTTGGTGTGATGTCACTAACAAGGCTGCTCATGGAGATACCCAGATACCTTGACTTAGGTATGCGCCCCCCACGCTTTGGCAGAGGCCGGAGATGCACTCCGATGCTTTGACACAAAAGCGCTCGGATGGCGGTTTTATGGCAGGCGTATACTAGCATGCTCGCGCATACAAACATGATGTTTTATACTCACTTTCACCCACTGACATAGTCAGAGATACGTCGTAAACCTATTATTGCCTGTTGGCTTGTGATGCTATGTACCTGTGTCACTCATGGAGGGTGCCCGCACACTCAGTTGTGTCAACCGCCGACTTATCTCCGACCTCCAAAGACGTCTTCCTTTGGCTGTCTTCGGGGTTGCTGATATGAGTTTATCAACTCATACGAGCAACCTGGGGTGGCCAGGTTGCCGGGCGTCGTGCTGTCGGAGGGGCGGGACCCCGAGGAATTGTGCCGCCGAACGACAATACCTGAGGGCGTTGAAAAGCCCAGAAAAGCTGCCAAGCGCATGAGGCATGGTGGGCCGGGCGCCGGGACCCTCCTTGATTATGCGTGTTTCGGTGCACCCCGCCCGATGATTGGGTCGCACCAACGCCAGGCCATGCTGGGCATGCTGTGATCTTGGGTGATAAAGCAACGTCTCGACTGGCAAACAGGGTGGTCTGGGGGGGCTTGCTGTAGGAGTTGATGGCTAGACAAATTTCAATTTTGTAGTTACAGTACGGTACCTGCTGTCTGCCATCACCGTCTGACAAGTGCAAGTGCCTGTGTGAAATTCTGTCAACAGGATTGTGGTCCCTCTCAGCTCAAAATCAACTAAATGAATATGACACACTTCCGAATACCGAAGGCCTGCCAGTGAACTTTGCAGTCAGGCACACAGCAGAAAAAAGGGGCGTGCGATCACTGCTTCGGTCCCAGGTCGAGTGCTTGTGCTGGACGCTCTCACATGCCCGCCCATCGACCCGAGCATAACAAATCAACTATGATTTTCTTTACGTAGAAGTATGAGCCCAGTCAACACGGCCGCTACAAGCGATCTTGTTTTCAGCCCGCACGCGGAGGTCCCGGCATCAAATTAATAACCGCCCCCTTAGAACCTTGCCGCAACTGCAAGGGTGTGGTGGCATCACAACCGGGCTGGCCCCGCTCCCTGGTGCACTGCACACTTTTGAATATGCCTGCTGCTGCATGATCCGACGGGACAGCGATGTCGCTGCACCACATATCGAGTCGCCGGAGCCCCTTTGCATTGCTCCTGGCCCTTGCGCTAGGGCTAGCCCTGGGGGCTTTGTTGGGCTACTTTGGTGCAAGTGGCAACCATGGTGCAGGAGGCGGCCCTTTGGCTCTAATCGGCACCGGCAGCAAAGCGCCACGATTAGCAAGTTCAACCGCAGCAACATCACTAGCAGCACCAGCAGCGGCAGCGGTAGCAGCAGCAGTGTCGGTGGCAGACGCAGTGGCAGCAGGGCCAGCAGCACCAGCAGCAGCACTAGCAACAGAGAAAGCAGCATCAGCACAAGCAGCACCGTCGGCAGCACCACCGGCAGCGCCAGCAGCCGCTCCGCCAGCAGCCGCGGCGACGGCTGCGGCTGCGGGCCAGGGCTTATTAGCGGCAAGCCAGTACCCCCACATCAAAAACCTGACGACGCCACTGGCCTGCGTCAGCATGCTGCCCACGGAGCGCAACCTGTCGGACTCCCTTCTGTACATGCAGCAGCAGAACCGTGTGTTCTTGGACCCTGCCAGCAGAGAGATTATGAAGTGGATCACCCGCGACCCCGGGGAGCGCGCTGTCCACGACATGTTCACGCGCCTTTTTCCACAAGGCTGTGGCGGCGGCGCAGATTCTCAACAGCTGGGGCTGTTCCTGGATGTGGGATCCAACGCAGGCTTCTATTCGATGGTCGCGGCATCCTATGGCTGCCAAGTCCTGTCATTTGACCCACAGAAGGCGTGCGCCGACCTCGTGCGCCGAAATTACTGCCTCAACGGAGCATACCCCGTAGTTGCTCGCGACTTGGTAGCTGTCATCAATGCGCCGGTGTCGGACGTGCCCACCACACTCAACCTGTCAGTGCCAGCTCGCTGCGAGGGGGTGTTCTTCTTGCCGACGGGGCCCGGCGCGACCGCAAAGCAGACGGTGCCCACAACAGAGACGTACCAGCGCACCAGCGTGTCACTCGACGGCCTGCTCCTCAACGAAACAAGTCTTGAGGTGTACATGATCAAAATCGACACAGAGGGGTATGAAATGGCGGTGCTCAAGTCTCTCAAGGGCATGCTGGCGGCGCGCCGTGTGCGGCACATAATGATTGAGGTGACCCCCCTCTTCTGGGCGCGCGACAATGTGCCTCGCACCGACATCTACAGCACGTTCCTCCCCCTGCTGGGCTACGGGTGCAAGATCCAGCGGGTGCTCGATATGGTGGCCAACTCAACGGCGCTGCTGGATTCTGAGGACAAGCTGCGGGAGTATCTGGTGCAACGTGATTTTGTCCAGGAGGACCTGCTAGTCAGCTGCCCGCGAGCGTAGCGCCCCTGACCCTGTAGAGGCACGTTCAAGCCATGTTCCTGCTTCGCAGCCGGGACACGTTGTTGGTGTGGCCGAGAACCGTGGTTGCCAGAGCAGGCGGTGCCAAGGCTGATTTGCACACCAGCTTGCCACGGGTTTGGCGGCCTGGTGCACACTCACGCCCCTTTTTTTGCCTCACAGTCAGCCACATCTGCACTTCTAGTGCGATAGATGTAGGCTACCTTGTGCAGGCTGCATTTTCTTTGTTTGTATACATGGCTTTGTGTGAACGCTCTGAATCAAGAATTAGCCGGTTGCTTATCATGTAAGCCTTAGCCAGATCTGTGAAGGTTGGTGCGGGCTCTTGTCTGGGGTACATTCAAGGAGTTTGTGTGTATTCGCACCGAGCCTATGCTTGAGTTTCAGCGCAAGAAAGCTTAAGAGTTTATGCGAAGAGGGCCAACGCAGCGTTGCAGTGGAGCGCCTGTGGTGAGGCACCCATCAGGTACACAGACCCTATTTACACCTTTCTATAGGCAGCAATACAGTGATACACTCTCAAGGAATCATCTGGTGGAATTCCACGTTGAATTAAACAAACACGTTGTGTAATTCTTTGGTGCCTGTCTGTGAGCTGCAATCATCTGGCAGAAGTTGCACTGCATGCTGGGCCTAAACTCAATCTGGTGAATCAAATTCTGAAAAGCAGGCGCAAACTCCTCCACGCGCGTCTTCTTTTTCCACGCCATCATCCGTTCGTACGCGGAGCGATCCCCGGCAAGGCGCTCCAGCTCCGCCATCAACGCCTCGGGGGTGGTGATGTTTGACCCCGCCCCGTAAACAATTGCAGCGTCGGGGTCCGGGAGGAAGTCGCGGGCGTTGGGCGGGCCAAGGTAGATGGGCACACAGCCGGCTATGAGTGCATCCCACAGCTTCTCAGTGACGTAATCTTTCGTGATGCTGTTCTCCATCGCAACACAAAACTTGTGGCGCGCAATGAGCTCCTGCTTGGGGCCCGGCATCGGTGTGTTGTTGTCGCACTTTCCATAAGACAGCACCTTGACGCGCGTGCTGTTGCTGACGAGGCGCATCAGCCCGCGCATTATCTCCGCGCGTGGTGACAGCGTCTCACAGTTGCTGTTCACGTACGCAACAGCATCCAGCTTCTCCTCGAACGGCACAGGCGCCCGCAGCAGCGTGGGCAGCAGGCGCGATTGGTCGGGGCTGAGGAAGTCTCGCAGGTAGATGTCCAGGTAATACACGGGCACCTGCAAACGCCACAACAACGGCGGGCTGTGAGCCGCGCCGCCACAGACGCAGCTGAACACACAGCGGCACTGCAGCCGTCGTCCAACTGCTCAGTGCTCACCTGAGAGCATGTGCGGTACGTCATCTCAAGATCAAAGAGCCGCATGTATTCGGGGTCGTCCAGGCACGGATAATACTGTGAGCTCTCCATTGAGAACATCACGCGCAAATGCTTCGCATTTGGCAACCGCGGCGGCGGCGGGGTCTTGGGCGGCGATGGTTTCGCGGTCGAACGGGCGTTGCACGCATGCGGAGCGTGGTACAGCGCAACATCTGCGCCAAGCAAGACCGCATCTGCCTCTGATGTGGCCTGCACAAACCGGCAGGTTAGGGGCTGCCCCTGTTCACGGATGGACGCAGCGTTTTGGAGCGGTCAGAGCTATCACAGTGGCGAGGGCCAGATGTGCACGGCAGCCCCCAACACCCAATCACCTCAAAGCTGCAGTTCGACACAGAACGTGTGAAGTCTGGCCTGATGAAGTGGGGGGTGGCAAGCACCACCAGCACGTCCTTATTGTGCACGCACTGGGCGTTGACTGGCGCTGGAGGTTGCGCACTGTTGCTGACAGGTGGCTTGGTGAAGCTGCTGGTCGGCTGTGGCAGTCCTGTCAGGTTGTTGGCAGGCTGCTGCACAATGCCTGACACGGTGCCTGAGATGTTGACCATGACGCTGACGTCTGGTGAAGCAGGGCTTAGTCGGTGCCCGGTGGGCCCAGGACCTCCCCACAAGCGGTAGGGGAGTGGCCTCGTCGCTGGCTCCGACATCTGGTCTACGAAAAGCAGCAGCAGCATCAGCACTCCTGCAGTGCCCGCGATCCACAGTGCCGGTCCGTGGGACATGATTGTCTCGTGTGAACGCCAAGTGGCTCACGGATCATCAAGGCCTGAGATCGAAAGTCGGTCATCCATTGCGGACCAGATCGGGTAGCCAAACCACTGGGATGTGCATCGTATGGACCCCGTCTCGTGTCTGTGTTTGTTGGTGACAAACGGGCATGGGATGACAGCAAAGTAACCGACCGTGAGGTGGACTCGTATTTGCGGCGGTGAACCTGTGACATGCAACGGAGTGTGAGCATGCTTGACGGCAAGGATCAACACATGCTTGCACGTACAAACACCCGCCGAGTATCAGGGTGTGCTTGGCGCGTGGGTGCTGGTGGTGATGTGCCCCTGGGGGGGGGGTTGGGGGTTGGGGGCACACTCCTGGTAACCGAGCGAGGTACAAGATCAGGGTCGAGCCTCCGCAGCACCAAGGTTACACATCAGGCATGAGAGAATTGTAGGTACAAATGCATGCCTGACCCAAACCAGGGGGCGGTCGATGGGCGCAGTGAGGCGGCGCAACGCGAGGGGGAAACCTCAGCGCCTGCCCTCCCCTGCGGCGGAAGGGAGGGAGAGTGCCAAGGTTGTGCCTACAGGCTGCGCGGGAGGAGGCGTCAGCGCGAGAATAAAGCCTTGGGGGGGCGCGACACCCACACAATGCAGTACATCGCGCGCGAGCGGGGTTCTTGGGGCCAACTTGAGGGCTGCGCAACCTGTCCGCCAGGAGCAGCGAGGCAAAGGGGGGCCTGGCGGGCCGGCGGGGGATCAGGTATATGCCTGCATATAATGGGGGGCACAGGGGCCCCAGCGGATTAGGCAAGGTGGGCGTGTCGGCAAAGATCACGCGAAGCAGGACCGCGGTGCACTGCGCGAGAGGAGGCGTCCCCGTGTGAAAAGAGTGACGGGCGATGCCGCATAGGTACCAGAAGAAGGGACACGCCCTGGGTGCCTGCTCAGCCGCCCTCATCACTCAGGAGCTGAGTGCTTCGCTCAGCCTCAAGCATATGCAGACTACCTGAGGATGTGTAAGGAACAAATATTCATGCGGGCAGGTGGACGCCGCCGGGCGGGCTGCTGCGCAAAACACATCTGCTCAACAGCGGCGCACCAATGTCCTCGTAGCCGTCAGCGCGCGTGGACGACAGCGTTGTTTAAGCTCCTAAAAGAAACACTTGTTGTGGCTCTTCCGTCAGGGGTGCCTCACTGATGCAGTTCGTTGGTGCGCTATACAACTGGCAGCGGCACTCTGCATTCAAGCTGTGCTGACAATTGGAGGCAGGCGTTGCGCCGTTCAAGTATAGATTTATCCATGTTGTGGCAGCATAATAAAATTGCAGTGCTGTTCAGCTCTCGTTTGCACCAGAACAGCACTCCCAGTGGACCTACATGCATCGCGCGCTCAGCGAGGGTCACCCACAAATTTCTAGTTTGGGATGCACGAAGAGCCCCTGTTATGTTGCAGCAAGAAGCATGTACTTTTCTATGTGATGAGCAGTGACGGAAAAATCAGAAAGCAGCGTTGCAGTGGCTGCGGAGTAACGCCCACGCTCATGGGGGGCACCTGTGCATTGCGGGTTGGGGTATCGGACCCACAAGTCAGGTTTGGCATGCACGGAGAGCCCCAGCCCCGGCGCGGCAGGTGATGAAAACAATCACATGTGTTGAGTTTGATAGCAAGCTCGAACAGCAGCGCTGCAGTGGCTGCGAGCGATGCCCACACTCATGGGGGGCACGCGTACAGCGCTGGTTTGGTCACAGAGATCCACAAGATTGATCATACGCATGCACAGAAAGCCCCAACCCTTGCGTAGCAAGCAATATTTACTAAATATTTCAGCATATACTTTCATGGTGTGGTGGGCAGTGACAGCAATCTTCGGGCAGGGGCTTGTTTGCGCCAGGTTTGCGCCGCGCAACAAGGCTGGAGATCCGCGGCACGTTGTGGTGGTGCAGCAGCGAAGGAGGGGGCCCAAAAAATTGATTGCGCAATCCTGTGTATGTGGCATAAAAACATCTGGTGCATATTTGCAGCAGCACTTTGAGGTAGCGTTCTGCGCCGATCAGCTGAGGCAAAGGCAAAGGATTTTACCCCCGGGCACCGGATCAAGCAACGCGATGTGTTTTCACAGTTTTGAGGGTGATACGTGGTTACTACGATTGAAACATGCGGAAACGCTTCTCGGCCAGTTTTGTGCCGTGCTGCCGTAGCCCATCTCCAGCCAACCATTTCAGCAGCCGCGCACCTGAAATCATAAAAGCTTCGAGGTCGAAGGCCCTCGAGCCACCTAGATACAGTTCTTGAATATATCTTTTTCTATCTGGTACAAGCTGCAACCTCCCTCTCGCTTGGTCACGAGGGGTCCCTCCCTCACACCCCCACCCACTTGTGTGCTATCAGTGTGCTGGGGACAGGCACTGATAGCACACAGGGTTTACCCCACTGATAAATGTTATCAACTCAACTATGCAGGTTGATGCGGTAGCAGCGAAGGCTCGTGGCCTGAAAGTCTCTGCAACGGGCCATAGCTGCTGCACAATAGTATGCGGTCAAGATACGGTATTGTCTCGGCATGACAGCCGTCCGCGTGATATTGCTGCTGGATCTACCATCCTGCATGTTGTTCTCACTCAGATGTTTTATCAGATCATGACACTTTTTAAGCAATTGCTGTCTTTGTTTCATCACTAGCAAATAACCTTGCGTTGCTTGCTGCTCATCGCCGACCACACACACGCCCGACAGCAACGTTTGCAGGAAACTAGACATGCGCGCGTGTTCTTGAAGTGGATGGTTGGGCCTTGTGCTGGGCATTCCTGCGTACAGGTCAGCCAGTGGCACAAATGCCATGTCCTTTATGTCCCTGGATCCATCGCTGCCATGTGTCCGTACATCGCTAGTGAGGGCGGGGGTCGGAAAATGCTTGGGCTATGTGATCAAGTGGGACCCGCGCACATGCAGTAAGGGTTGACATCCAAAGGTTGTGTACTTCTGCACCCTCGGAAAATTTCATGTGATTGGCACACCTCATATTTGCTGCAATTGCAATCGTGCCAATGTCATGCCAGCGCTTTGAGCAGCATGACCACGCACTCTGCAGCTTGAACTGCCAGGAAGCCGCTCTCAATTGCCCACTGCTCACCCTCGCGACAATGGCTCATGTACACAACCTGCACAGTGCCACTGAGCACTCTTATGACTCCTAAACTTTGTCCCTCCTGTGTGTTATGTTAGAAAATTTCAGCAAAGAAAAACCACCGGCTGGTGAGAGAAAACTTCATACAGCCAGGTGTTGATGATAATGATCTAGACAATATGTACACATGTACCTGTCGTCACCCATACTGATGGTTGTGCGCATTGCGAATCATGTGCATTTTGCTGTGAGGAGCAGTTTTGTGGGGTAATTTTGGCGTTGCACTAAGAAAGTATTTTCACCAATATGATGGTATGAATATGTCATCACCACTGTAGAGGATAGATTTCGACGGTAATGTGATGCGGTACGCTGTATTACACAGCCTACCAACGACCCAAGATGGGCCCGAGAGCAGCACGGGCAGGTTGACTGGTACAGCCTGCACTCTTTACCAGGGGGTTGATGTGACAGCTTGCTCTCGCAGTTGAAACGTGCTGTGCAGAGATGTTGTCACAGTGTGCCCAAGTTTTGCATGTTGTCATCGTGAGTGATGGGGATGGAAATGCTGATTGGCCACGAATCGCATGACGGCGGACTGGGCAAGCTGGTGTTCAGGGAGGCATAGCCCCATTGGCTTGATGTCAAAGGTGGCTCCAGGAAAATGAAACCTGCTGTAATTTAGGTGCAGTAGTGTTGTGCGCAATGCTGGCCAAAGTACTTGCGTAGCAGATTTTAGTTTATGGGTTGGATGGGGCGTTGGCACGTGAAGTGTTGGCCCGCCCAGCTGTCAAAGTGCGTCTCTTATCAACTTGACAGTCAAAGGACCGCCCGGCTATCTGATAAGGCACAGTTCGCAGACATGAAAGTGCGTACGAATTGCTAATCTTTGTGACCGTGCTGCCACACCCAGCAGGATAACGTCGCCCTCAAGCGAGGTGCCATGGTTTTGAGCAAACTGCAATGCACTTTTGGAGGAACAACACAGCTCAAAGCGAAATGCTGCACATGGGTTTGTTTCTTGTGTTGCCCTTCTGAGCGCCAAGCAATGCTCACACACCTCTACCGAAGGGGTTGCACTGAGTCCATGCAAATAGTTAATTGCATGCAGATGTTGGAACCATCACACCTCTTCGAACACACACTCCTCACAATCGAATCAAGTAATGAAATTAACATTTGGACCACGTATGACTGGCATGCCTAGGAAGCAAGAGGGAATAGCACAAGGCCATGTCCCAAGTCCCATTGGTGGGCGCAGTCACGGTGTCATCAGAGGACGTTTGGGCCTTGTTACCACAATGTGTGGGGGGCTTCTCCCACGTCCCACCTTGCCCTCTTTTTGAAATTTGTTTTACCACCACCATCATCTCCAATGCTGATACATAGGGCCACTACCGTCAAGGGGCAGCACTGATGACCCTGCGGTGTGCACGACGCATCCAACCCATGCACCCAGTCCCTGTTGGGCGCTGGTGTGCTTGATTGCAGCCACAAGAACCAAGAGGTTTGCCGCCGGCAGCACGAGCACTATTTGTGCTGCACATCGTAAGATCACCGGCGATGGTGCAGTGCTTGCCATTCAGTGTAGCAGCCAAAATCAACACCAAGGATAGACGTCATGTTTCATATAATTAGTGTGCGGCATCACCATCTTTGAAGAACTGATCTCGCGATCTGCCCACGTCTTATGTGCGGGTGTTGCGTGAAACAACGAGCGTGCAGCTCTTTTGTTGTGAATCTAGATTGATTAATATATTGCAGGTGCGTCTGCAGAGGACGTAGAACACTAAGGCGCAGCGCGCGCGCCGCCGCTGCGCGGCCCAGGCCCGGACGGCTGCGCAATGGCGGCCGTCGTGGCGAGCAAGGCGCAGCTCAGCGCGCTGGAGGAGCTGATGCCGACGGATGACGACCTCCTGTACGAGGAGGAGCTGCTGCGCAACCCCTACAGCCTCAAGATGTGGTGGCGCTACATCCAGGCGCGCACCGATGCGTCGGCGCGGCGGCGGTACGTCCTGTACGAGCGCGCCCTCAAGGCGTTGCCAGGCAGCTACAAGGTGGGGACCTTGCTTAGGGGGGTGGGTGTATGCCCCATGGGCCCTCAGCCGGGCGGCTGGCGCAGCCCGGATTGCAAAACTCCCCCCGAGGCGCACGCATAGAGCGCGCAACCCAGGCCGCCAGACCCCTCGCGGACCCTGCCCGACGCACAAAAACACCTCACAAACCTACTTGCGCCCCTCATCGGCCCCCACGCACCCCTCCCCGCCAGCGCTAACTCTCAGCCCCCCCTGCCGTCCGAAAATGTGGGGGCGAACGTCAGTTGCAGTCGAGGCGGGGTGCAACGTCACGCCTGGGCGCCACACACACACACACACACACACATGCGCGCGCGCGCGCATGCACAAATGCACATGCACACAAAATGCACATGGCAATCCACGTGTACACTGTCTCACTGCACACCACCGCAAACGTCACCTGCGCACATGTCCGCCTGCGCCACGCGCACGTCCCCTCGCACGCGCACGCGCGCCGCAGCTGTGGGCTGCATACCTGGCCGAGCGCCGCCTGGCGGTCCGCGGCAGCCGCCCCGACCACCCGTCGCGCGCCGCGCTGCGCAACACGTACGAGCGCGCGCTGGTGTCCATGCACAAGATGCCGCGCGTGTGGCTGGACTACCTGGAGCTGCTGCTGGAGGGCGGCGGCGTGACGGGCACGCGCCGCGCCTTTGACCGCGCGCTGGCAGCGCTGCCCATCACGCAGCACGACCGCGTGTGGGTGCTGTTCCTGGTGAGTGGGCCAGGAGGCAATAGGATAAGGGAAGGGGCATGTCATGGGTGGTGCTGGGGCTCCGTTGGTTAACTGGGTGTGGGGCAGGTCCGGGATGGTGCGGCGCCACAACAAGGCAGCTGGTGTAGCAGAGTGGTGGCCGGTCCAGGAAGGAGCAGCCTGCCACGGCAGCAGCCCTGCGCGCCCCAGCAGCTGGCGCGCTCGCCCAGGCACACACGCACGCCCACACGCAGACGTGCCGCCGCGGTCGCCCCTGCCGCCCCCTTGCGCAGCGCTTTGTGGGTGAGCCGGGCATGCCTGTTGAGACGTCCCTGCGGGTGTACCGCCGCTACCTCCAGCTGGAGCCCGGCCACGTGGAGGAGCTCATAGCGTACTGCAGGTCAGGGCAGATGGCGGCCTGATGGGGACCCGGGCGGATGGGGAGCCGGGCCGGGCTTGGCAGGGGAACAGGCACTGGAAAAAGTGTGGGGGGTTTGAGGGGGATGGGGGTCGGGGTGTCAAGAGACGGGACGGCAGGGGGCGCAGAGGAAGCAGGTAGGGCTGTGACGTGAGCGGTTTGTGGGTTGATCCCAGCAGTCAGCGGTCATCAGCTGGGGCCCGTGGGCAGGCGGCAGGCGTGGCCACGAGGAGCGGCGCCGCGCAGGCAGTCGCAAAAACAGCAGCCGCGTGCCTGCCGGTTTTCAAGGGTTTGCGGCCGCGGACCCTTTCCTCTCACCCACACACCAAACACCACCCCGACACCCCCAGGGCTCACGAGCTGTGGGGCGAGGTGGCGTCGCGGCTGGCGGCGGTGCTGAACGACGACACTTTCCGCTCCCTGGAGGGCAAGAGCAAGCACCAGCTGTGGCTGGAGCTCTGCGACACCGTCACACGCCACCCCAAGGTGGGGCGGGGG